CCCCAAAACCCCAAAACCCCAAAACCCCAATAAATTATAATGGAATTGAAAAATGACTTCAGGCTCATAATTAACAAACCTGAATCAGATCCTCAGTTTAGAGTCAATCTTATGATTAAAGAAAAGCCTGATGAGTCTACTCCTATGAGAAGGAAAGGAGATAGAATTAAGACAGTGCCTTCGATCAAGTTATTCCACACTCAAGAAAAACCGAATGTGAAATAACTTTATGAAGATAAATACTATTGGAGTTAACTCAGTTAAACAGCAAAGTCCTAAGGCGAAGAAACATATCAAGATGAAAGATAGAACAACGCCAAAGAAGGGCAAGCATAATTCTGGATTACTAAGGTCAACGAGCCTGATGGGTCATTATGAGAATCAGAATTTCGGGACTTTTGGTAAACTTAGTTTTAAATATCTTTACCCTTGAATGATTCCTCCTTCAAATTCAATATCCTTACCATATTCTAGACTCGGTAGTTAAGAGTGCGAGGTACAGTATTCAAAGATTTTTACAACAGAGAATCTCTTTAATTCAAGAAGAGGTAAGATTTTTGGCTTTGAGATTACTGATAACTTGCTGAATCTAGTCAGAAAGTGGGTACTCAGAGATAAAAGAACCAAGTAAAAATAAGGCTTCCTTCGTCTACAGTCAATGGAACATCATCGGGACAAATCAAAGTCAGTACCTCGATAAGGAAATTTCTAAAGTCCTGAAGAATAAATAAGAAGTATGATGATAAATTGAAGGTTTCACAAACTTCCCTTTTTGAAACAATGGCGCTAAAGAAATTAAAGCTACCTTCAAAGCTAGAAGGGTGACGACTAAATAATCTTCCAAAGTTAATCACTAAATTTGAGAATAAAAAATCTCAGAAATGTCCCAAAATTATGCCAAGACAACTCAAGATATCTGAGCATATTATTTGAAGGAACAAAGATGATAAAACAGTTGTAAGGAAGAGATATTCTGAGTGCTAAAATATATTTTGCAAGAATTACATCATTTTTAGGACAACCCGCCAAGTTCTTCGATCAAGAGGATCAAGGATAGAATGAGCTCAAAGTCCAGAGCAAAGACTAATTTGAAGCAGAGAGGACATGCTTCACAGTCACGGTTTCTTCACAACAAAAGGAAAAAGAAGCAAAACATAAACTCTCAGAATGCTGATAATTCTAGTACTGAGAATCCATTATTAGGAGTTTCAAAATTTCCCATGACTCTTAGTACTCCTTGGGTTAAAAATGATTTTATCTTCAATACTTTTCTTCCTGTTCCGCTGACAGATAGAAAAATTATGCAAAAACCTATAAAGGTTAAGCGAGTACGTCCCCTCTGACATGGTGAAAGACTTAAAATGTCTGCCTCAGTGCAAGGTAAAGTGCTGTATGACCTCTAGGTTTTCGGAAGAGTAGCCAAAACTTTGCTAAAAAGTCGACATCTCACTCTGCTAGGAGGTTTTTATAGAATTTCAACTGAACTCCCCACTCTGGGGTTTTGGGGTTTTGGGGTTTTGGGGTTTTGGGGTTTTGGGGTTTTGGGG